AAATAAATATATAAATATAATAAATATAAATAAATATAATAATAATAATAATAATAATAAAATAATAATTAATTTAAATAATAACTCGTGTCCTATCTCTACTGATAAGAATTTTACAGCCCTCGAATGTTAATATAGAAATTTGTGTTTTTTTTTTGTAATAACTTTGGAACCATTTGACCAGATATTATAAAAATTGGAACGGTTGTTTGCGAAAACATACCTTTTAAACTAGTATTTACGAAAACCGGCTATTATTGGCAAAACTTTTATACTTTTATCAAATAATTACAAAAAAAACATACAAAATTATCAGTATCATTAAAAAATGTCTAACGTCAAAAAATATATAGCAATTTTTTTTCACAGATAGATTTTTTTTAACATTTTTTCCATGTTCCTGGTATCTTATCTTACTAGAAATTTTTCTCTGGGGCGCGAGTTCTGATACACCCTGTATAATCTCGTAATATACAAACGTTTCAATAAAATGTAAAGTAAGAGACCAGAAACACAAAGAAATTTTGAAAAATTTTGAAATTATAGAAGATTAAATTTTGCACTTAGACTATTCATTTCTGTTGTAAAAATAATTTTACATGTTTTTTTTTGTTGCGGGCTATTAGAAGAGGAAACAAGAAAGCTGTATTCTAAATTGTGACTATGTTTAACGTTATTTTACGATTTTTGGTAGCAAAATTTACAAAATAAAAAAAAGTAAAAATTTGTGAATATTCCCCTGTTATGTGTCTCATTTGAGTAATATTCACAAATTTGATTTACTACACGTTTTCGCAGTAAAATCATTTTATGATCATGTGAAATAAACCACAAAAAACAAATTACTTTAAATCAAAAAAAAAAATTATAATCAATTAAAAATTCCTCAAACAGATCTATTTTAAAACACCTTAATTGCGATGTTTTATTCAAAAATCAAGTTTTTGCGAAACATATTTACGCTAAAATATTTAATAAGAGTATTGATAAAAAATTAGGTAAGTGTGGCCATGCATGACGCCCCCAATTAGGCCCGAAAACCGCAAATTTATCTCGTCCACGTGCGTCCCCCCTAATAAAAAAATAATTCATTAATTCATTTGTAACTAAAATAAGTCAGTTATTTGAGCGGGGGGAGGGACGTTAGAGGGGACAGTCAAGAACACCGCGGTTACGTTCGGTATAAAATCACTCTGTAAACTCGATTCTTAATGAAGAAAATGCGTGTCGAGGGTACGATTTTTTTGACACTTGCGGCGACTTTGCCATTTTTCGTTTCGGGTAAGTGTGGTGTTTTTCCCCGGTGGAAATTGAAATTTCTCGATTAGGGGATGACTGGATGCACCCTCACCTGTCCAAAAATCCGATTAAAAGATCCGTGGAGGGCAGTAATGAAGAGAACACCGCCGCCTACTGGACGAGAAACGGGCTAAAAGCGGTGCGAGAAAGGATAGAAAGGAAGACCAACGAAAGTGAGTAAAAATTTCGAAATTTTATGCAAATTCGGTTGATTAACATTCAGCGGTTTGGCGTGCCTTGACCGTCGCAATTTTCGTCACCTCGACACAGAAAAAACGCACGAAGCGTAGGCGAGGATCGCTTTCCCGTCACGTGACCTTTTGATTGACACAATAAGGACTAAAAATTTTTCAAAAGTGCTGCGAATTGCGATTTCACGGCGCGAAATTAGCCTAGCGTGAATATTGGGATAATTAATTAATCATTCAGTGACATTATAAATGACTTAAATTAAATTCTAATTAAATTCAGGAAAAATTCATAGATTAGAATGAAAGCAAAAGCGGTATAATTGTTATGTCTTTCTTTGGGAAGTCGGCTTTGTGTTAATAATAAATTATTCTCAAGTCGTTATCCTTGATTTAGATTTTTAGAAAAGATTGCTAGCCCAAAAAATGCAACAAATGCATAACCTGTCGCTTTAATTAGGTACTTTTAATATTTCCAATAAATTCACAAGATAAAAAGTGAAGTAACAGTAAGTATTTGAATTAGAATTCAATCACAAAATTGAGACCATTTTTTTAATTTATTTATTTATTTTGGATCATAAAACTAGTAAAACGCCAACTGATTGGGTTCAAAAAATATATACAGGGTGTCCCAGCGAGTTGTAAAAGTCCATTAGTGACTTTTAAATGGTAAAATAAAAAAATATATATAGGACATTGATAGAGACTAATCTAGTGCATCACCTAAAATTATTTTCAAGCATACAGCATGTCCCAAAAATAAGTTTCGATACAAACTTGTATTTTTTTTAAATGAAACACCGTATGTTTCCTTGCATTTTTGGATGTAGCCTTTTAAAACAATGTTTTTACGCTAAACTTTTATTAGTCGATTTCGCTTAGTTTTAGAAAAAAAAATTTTTGACGAAAACATGCACTTTTTAAAAATTTATTACACAAAAACAAAGACATCGAAAAATATTTTTTTTATTATTTCCACTGATTTATCCCGCGATAGTAAAAGTCGTTATAAATACTGAAATTTGAATTATTTTGTAAAAATAAAGACTAATGGTTTCAGTTTAACACAAATGTGATTATTAAGTGATATTTCTTCCATCTCTTGTGCAACTGTGCACTTTTTGGCTACTAAAACAATAGTAATTTTTTTAATGTTTAACGTTAAATATCTTTTTAGTTATTGATTATAAACACCTAAAAGTAAATAATTTTAGAAAGACAATTTAATAATCTTTTAAATGCAAAAACAATAAATAAGGTGTTCCATTTAATTTCTTAAATTACTGAACTTTTAACAAACGCCTTCATTTTTTTATCTTTGTAAATGCAACACACTAGAAAAAAAAATATAATTCCAGATGTCTTAGTTTTTGTGTAATAAATTTTTAAAAAGTGCATGTTTTCGACAAAAAAACCGTCCTATTTTTAAAACTAAGCAAAATCGACCAATAAAAGTTTAGCTTAAAAACATTGTCATAAAAATTTATATCCAAAAACGCTAAAAAACATGTGGTGTTTCATTTAAAAAAAAACACAAGTTTGTATTGTAACTTATGCTTGAGACACGCTGTATAGTTGAAAATAATTTTAGGCGAAGGACTAGATTAGTATCTATCAATGTCCTATATATTTTTTTTTTAATTTTACTATTTAAAGGTCACTAATTAACCTTTTCAACCCACTGGGACACTCTGTAATTAGAATTAACTTAAAAGTTTATTTGCACTGTATAAGATGACTCAACTCTTATCCGCACTCTAATTACACCTTTTTTAATTTTTGTTTTTACATCAGCTGTTTAAAAAAATCAATCCCCAAAAATTTTAATTAAAAAACTTTAAATAAAATTAATTTTTGTATTTTTTAACGGAAATTTTAACCGAACCAACGCAGCAGTCTAAAAATTGGATAAAATGTTCTTCTATTTAAAAAGTCATCGATATTTTTTTTTGTAATTTTGAAAAATAGAAAAAAAAAATTTAAAGGTGCGATTAAAACTTGATTTACTTGGTATGTAGTGGTTATTTGGCTCTAGGTGATTTAAATCCTTTTTGAATTAAAAAAAAATGCCACTGAATTTAATATAAAATTTGTAATTCTAGTAGTCTAGCCATGTAAATTCATTTTTTAAAAACATTTTGTTAAAAAAAGACAAAAAGTGAACTAAATGAGTGTAAACTGAATCCTGGCTTATACAAGGTGATAAAAAAAGATTGTAAAATATTTAAGAAGGTAATAGTATAGACCAAAATAAACAAAAAAGTCTTAATAAGCATGGGTCCCCAAAGTAACAGTTGTAAAAAGCTCCTTTTTTTTGTTTGAACAGACTGCAAATAAATGTTTTAAAAAACTAATAATTTTCGATATTTCCGAAACCGTTACTTTGCTGGTCCATGTTTATTAAAACTTTTTTGTTTCTTTTGGTCGATACTATTATTTCCTTAAATATTTTACAACCCGAGGATCAAACATAGTGAACGAGTGCTTAATTTTTTTCCTAAATTATTATTTTTAGACATGGCAAAAAACGTGATCCTCTTTCTCGGCGACGGAATGTCAATCTCCACCATCTCAGCCGCCCGTGTGTACCTTGGAGGGGAGGAACAAAGCCTCACTTTCGACAAATTCCCCTATACTGGACTTTCCAAAGTACCCTCAACTCCCCTATTTTTCGCGAAAATCACATTTTATTTTTCAGACCTACTGTGTGGACCAACAAGTGGCCGACTCGGCTTGCTCGGCCACAGCCTACTTATGCGGTGTCAAGGCCAACTATGGCACAATCGGTGTAACCGGTGACGTCAAACGTGACGACTGCCCCTCTATGCTCAATTCGACCAATCACGTTWARTCAATCGCCCACCACTTCCAAAGTAGTGGAAAATTGACAGGAGTAGTGACCACAGCACGTGTGACTCATGCTTCCCCCGCTGGGACTTACGCACACACGGCTGAACGTGATTGGGAGAGCGATAATGACGTGATTTCGGCCAATCATGACCCAGTCACGTGTCGCGACATCGCCTGGCAATTGGTGTATGGAGATACCGGGCGGAGTCTAAATGTGATTTTAGGAGGGGGAAGGTCAAATTTTATTCCTCAAGGTCACAAAGATGAAGAAGGTTTTGAAGGTCACAGACTCGATAAAGTCAACTTGATCGAACAATGGCTCGTGCAGAAYAAAGAGATGGGGTATAWTCCGCGATATGTGTGGAACAGAGAYGGACTATTACAGACCGACTACAACAACACCGACTATCTTTTGGGTCTGTTTAATTCCGATCACGTGACTTTTAATTTGAAACGTGACAAAAATCGTGAACCTTCATTGGCGGAAATGACACAATCCGCCATTAAATTACTGAGTAAGTCCCAAAATGGCTACTTCCTGTTTGTGGAAGGTGCCCGGATCGACATGGGACATCACAATGCCCAAGCTAGGATGGCTTTGGATGAAACAATCGAATTTTCAAAAGCGGTCCAAGCCGCCGTTGACTTAACCGACGAATCGGATACATTAATCGTCGTGACGTCAGACCACGCCCATACGATGAGCTACAGTGGATACGCCCATCGCGGAAATGACGTTTTAGGAATCGCGGGAAATGCCGATGACACTTTACCTTACACGGTTTTGAATTACGCAAACGGACCCGGGTATAAGGCCAGTCAAGGCCAAAGATATGACGTCAGCAATGACGACATGTGTTAGTGTTTTGTTTTTTCTAATTGTCAAAATTTAACACTTTGTTTTAGCCAATGCCGAGTATCGCTATCCGGCGATTTCGCCACTCGACGCTGAGACGCATGGCGGCGATGACGTCGCCATTTTTGCTCAAGGGCCATGGGCCCACCTTTTCACAGGCGTCATGGAGGAAAACGTGATACCTTACCTTCTCGCCTATGCATCTTGTGTGGGCAATGGTACCACGATGTGTGATAATATCAAAGAAAGAAATTCGAAAATCATGAATTTGGTCAAGAAACTATCATGAGCAGTATTAATAAAGTTCCTCAATTAGAATTTTTAATTATTTCCGCGACAAAAAGTGCAAAACCATTAATCTTGCCGACAATACCGATCACGTCCGCTACTCTCTAATAATGCAATATTTGTATTACTAAGGACATTGTTTTGCGACCTTTGATTAATTGAAAATAATAACCTTCCGGTTGGAAGGCTAAAAACTGTGTGCACTCTCGAAAAAATTCAAATTTTGTAACGTAATAATAGAGTAATGTTATCGACTGATTAAATAAATAATTAATAAAGTTCTGATTTGTTTTTTTGTGTATTTTTAATCTCACTTAAGATCATTTGCCCTTTGTTTCTAATCACGTATATACGTGAGCACGTGGCTTACTATATCGTTGTATATCAACGTATAATTACAATACATAAAAAAATTTCCTTGAGGCAATTTGAGAAACATGATAAATCCTAATCAGTTGGTAATTTTTTTAGTAATATTGTTGTTGGAACACTTGTGACAACAAATACCATATTCTGTGATCAAAAAAAAAAACATAATAAGCAACAATTATTTTTGTTTTTACTTTGTACAGATGTATTCCACTTAACTGAAAATTCTTTTCTCGTAAATAATTATTACTTAATTTGTGTCATTTAATMAGCAAACTAATTTAATGGAATTAGTCTTAGGTATTAGTTATTTTATTTCAATTAACTCTCGAGACGTTTTATTGGATTGTGCTGAACGGAATCTAAATCTAATACTAATCCTTGCTTAAATCAAACGCAATTTGACTAAATTCATTATTTGTGATCTTATCTACATTTGTTGTAAAAATAAATAGTGTGTATATTTGGTTGCATAACCACGTTTTTACTTCCAATCAATATACGGTGTATTTCGATCACACAAGGACAATTTGATTAACACATTTTCAACAGTGACGCTTTAATCTTAATTAAACTAAATACTATGACAAATTATTTGACATATTTTAAAAAACTTATCACTTTCTTATGCTATTATTAATTTAGTTTGTGGGAAAAAAAAGTTTGCATCTCTAACATAAATAGGGTTTATCCAGAGAATGCAGGTAATGCTAGAGGCAAAATTAATTCCACAGGGTGTCCCACGAGTAATGAGCCTGAATTTTTTTTTTTTTTGAAGCAACCAACAAAATATTTCAAAAATAACGTGGATATTAAAATATTTGGTTTTAATAGATTAAACATAGTGACAAAATAGCACTTCAATTTTGATTTATAAAAACCTTGGAAAATTTGGTGAGAATTACTAAAACGTTGATGAAAAAACCAACCAGACTCTCATTTATGAAAAATGTTTAAAAAACGCTTCACATACTCCATTTTAAGGGTATTAAAGGTTTTGCGTTTTTTATTCGAAAACTCTATCGATTTGGGCAATTAAAAATTGTTGTTAAGAGAGCAAAAAATGGATATGACTTGCAACTGCTGTAACCGGAAATTGAGTAGATGTATCCTGTTTTCGTGATCACTAATTCAAAAGGTATTTTGTCACAAGGAAATGTTCTAAATTTGATAATATTTGGTCAAATAGTTCCAAAGTTATTACAAAAAAATCAAATTTCTCTACCCACATTCCGAGGGCTGCAAAATTCTTATCAGTAGAGATATGACCTGAGTTATTATAAAAATTAACATCATTTTATAGGCCATTTTTGAGGTTCAAATATTGCTTCATATTAATGAATAATCCTGTACATACATATTCGTATGACAATAAATAAAAACATAAAGTACATAATGAAATGTATATGTAATGAAATTATGTACATAAATGAAATTATAGTACTAGACACTAGAGTTTAATATTCAGTTAGTATTTGTTTTGGACGTAAAATTAGTTAGGTGCACTGAATTTAAAAAATATTTAAAAAAACACCATAATTGTTTTACATACAGGGTGAATCACATACCAGGTGAATAAAAAGTATGGAACGAAGCGTTTTTCTCGTAAAGTAACCACTTTACAAAAAAAATAATTGCGTAGCGTAAAGTCCAATTAAAATGTGATCATTTATCAAGAATAACATTTTTCGAAATTTCTTTTAGTTTTCGGGTTTTAGAAAAAAAAATTTTTTTTTAAATGGCAACCCACCATGATAATTTTTTTAATTAAAGATTATGATCTAAAAATGACCTTTAATTAAATAAAATTGTTTTTTAGCCAGTACTTTTTTTTTAATTAATTGTTAAAGTTGCGTTCCGAGCTCATCACGAAGATTTTCCGAATATAACCGAAGTGGTTGTTTCATGCTTTTCATCATGGGAGAGCGCTGATTTCTATGCAGGTGCTTTGGGGTGGTTTCGAATGGACTAAAAATAGAAAAAAAATATTTGTTTTTACATTTTTTGACCCATCCGGAACCACCCCAAAGCACCTGCACCAAAAACCGGGCTCTCCAACGACCAATGTCATGAAACGACTCCCTCGTTCAAGTTCGGAAAATCTTCGTGATGGGCTCGGAACGCAACTTTAACAATTTATTAAAAAAAAAGTACTGACTAGAAAACAATTCTGTTTAATTAGAGGTCATTTTTAGATCATAATCTTTAATTAAAAAAATTACCATAGTGGTTGCCATTAAAAAAAAAAAAATTCCAGAATTCGAAAACTAAAAAAAATTTCGAAAAATGTTATTCTTGATAAATGGTCGCATTTTAATTGGACTTTACGCTACACTAATTATTTTTTTTGTAAAGTGGTTAGTTTACGAGAAAAACGCTTCGTTCCATACTTTTTATTCACCTGGTATAATAAAGACCCTAACCGATTTTCAGACYCAACCCAAAWTACATTCTCGGATACCACTATGCGTTAACTGATGCTCTGTTTGAAAATTTTRAAAGATATAAACATAGATWCCTGTGATAASTTTAACAATTTTTAGAAATTGGAATCTTACGGTACATTCAGCCACAGCATCTTGTGGCATTCTTTAATTGTCAAGATCATCTCAGTTTTTTCGCCGTTTGAGTACCTACATTTTGAAATCAAGGAAAAAAAAAGTGGAATTTTTGACAATGTCAAATTTAACTAATCACATATCAACAATTACCTTGATTTGAATTTAATAAACTAAATTTTTCAAACATATAAAAAGTAAAGTTGACTTTGAGAATTTATTTTGGATTGCGTCTAAAATTCGGTCAGAGTCTTTATTATAAGTGACAGCCTGTATTTCCTAAAAAAAGGAAAAATTGCACTAAATGTAAGGCCTCAATAGTTTTTTTTCTTTTAGAAAGACAAACTTTTAGTTTAGCTCTTGAACCAAGTGAAAAGAGTTAAAATTTCAGTAATCATTAATTTCTTGAACGCAACACTTTTATTTTAAAATTCTATTACTTTGGATAAAATTCGTTATACTGACAGTAATTTACTCGTTTAAAAGTCACAAATAAGATTTAGAAGGTAATATGTAGTTATTTTTGTTACAAGTACCTAAAACACAGTTTTTGCAGACGAATCGTTGCTGGAATTGCAGATGAGTTCGCAAAAACGTTCTAGGTACGTGTTAGGTGTTACAGACAAAATTTTTTGTTAAAGCTCCCAAAACACGAATTCACACCTCTTATTAATTAAAAAAATTTCGCCATCATAGTAACCAAGTTTATTTTTTAGTCCGGAAAACAGTTTTTGGAGACTGAGTACTTAAAATAACCATTTTGCGTACTATTTTACTGAGTCGGGAAAAGACTCATTTCAGGGACTCAAATGAGTCCCTAAAACAGCTGTTTTCGAGAGCGTATACAAAAAAAAAATTCCGTACTTCTACATTATTTGGTACAGCCGGTCCAACCCTGCCGTCACTGAAAATCACGCTTTGAAAAATGAGAGTCACGCTGTGAATGAACTGAATAAAGCATATGTACGCTCTTGAGAACAATTT